TGAAATTACTGAATTATGAGGAAGGATTCCTCAAAATGAACGCAGCCTTCAAACCTGTGCAACGGTATTAGAACTACTGATTTTCGCCCGAAAAATTTACAGAGCTTTTTTAGGCACTATTTTGTGAATTCGACAAATGTTGGCGAGCAGTTCTTCATGTTTACTTCATTAGCTGCTTGGCTTATAAGAATTGGGGGAAACGAAGGATATGAAATGCCTCAAGAGGTACAAATTTTTGTCACTCTTCAAGTGCTTAATAATTAAATATCATGATCTACAAAGTCCACTTTATAACTGACCTTCTTATCGACATGTAACGAAAGTAATCCGTTGTCTAAACGAGACACTATCATTCTAGTTAATCTGAGCATATAAACTAAAAATGTGTAACTCATCAAAAACAAACCAAAGCCCTTTTTTCCTGAAAAGCATAGAGTTTTCCTGCTTGCTGTTTCAGACTACTCTGCTTACTTTCTAATTTTGAGTAGAAAAATCCTAAGAAATTATTTATGACGCATCATTCAACTCTTTCGCATTTTCTATTGATAGTGCTATTTAAATTGTTTAAATTGCTATTGTTTAAAATAAATGCATAGATTCTTTCAGCAGTGGGAATTCGCCACAATAGAATAATTTGATATTTTCCCTTGATAAAAATATATCACTTCAATTTTGTGCTTCTCTTTGCGGTATTCTGATTATGAGCTTATTTTTCGTGGACAATTTCTTATGCGTCACAAAAGCTTGAAGAAATGGTTTTTTCTTTGTTTTGCCAGCATCGCTTGCTGGTTCCATAGAAACTCCACGCAAGCTCTCCCAAAAAATGTGAGCACTGTTCTGTTGTTGAGATCTCTCCCAATTTCAATTTTTTTTGTGTTGGAAGCTTGGCCCTCAAATTTGACTTCTGAATGGATCTTCCATTTGTTTTCTTCGCTATGACTCGGTATACAGTTGTATATAGCTTCAGCGATAAATTAACAGGCACCGATTTAACGTTATTATAACGCTGAAAATTTGCCTGATGGCGTTATTTAGTTAATCCAAACGGTGATCATTTGATAACGTAAGTTTGTATCACTCGGCAAGTGATTGACGATAGCGCGGAACCACCACTTCCTGTCGTAATCCTCCTCGATACGAGATTCTTACACAATAAGTTTAAAAATGAATCATTAGGAGCTGAAGAAGATGTTAAATTAGTGTTATAAACGACCAAACATTAATTACATTTTGCGACACCTTATATGCCAGTATCGCCAGTTGGGAACACTACATATTTGGTACATTGGTTGACATGAAAAGTTTTTCACTGTTACAGTTCAACCACTTACTTTTTACTTAAAAAGTACTTAATCTACCCAATAAAAACCGCTTCTCGCATAAATTTATAACTGTTTCTTTAATTCACAAGCATGATCAACATGTTTCAGTTCGACGATCCCAATGCTACTATTGCTGGGATTATGGGACATCTACGTGCGAATGTAAGTGTACTTAATTCTAATTTATCACAAATGATCACTGACAATTACGTGATGCAATCTAAGCTTTAAATTAGACGATTCATGACTCAATGACTAGAATCTTATTAAGAAAAAAAATTTGTTTACATAGTACAGCCGAGATCACTACGCTCAAAATGAGCGTCAACAAGACGATGAAGGAAGATCCTTTCGTAACCTTCAAACGTTTCATATTTACTCTTCACATTCACACATCGTACTCCAGGGAACTGTGGCAAATCGCACAGTTCCGGTCCTTTGCATTTACTGTGCTGCTCCCCGTTATAGAATATTCGATTGTAACATTGTTCGATTAACGGGTAGTAGATAGAAACTGCTGGCAAGCGGTTGTAAGTACTTTGCACATTTCCCATATTTGTAGCAAAGTTCTGCTGTATTTGTGCCAAATCATCAGGCTGAATTAAAGGTGCACTTGTCAAACTGTTAAGGAGGGGGTTATAGGTTGGTGGCTGAAGACTGTCCGGTTGAGTGTGATTGACGAAGTTCCAAAAACGAAGGTGTAGAGCTGAATTCAATTCGATCGGAAGGGAAACCTAAATAATTTATTTTGGAGAACGTAGGCGGGAAACTGAAAATTGTACCTGTTCATATCCGTCACGTATTCCATAGCTTCTATGAATCCACGCGCTGTCGACTCGTTCCGGCCTTACTACAATCTTACCCCAACGCGTTTCACCTTAACATCATTAAATAATCTCACTACACTATACTGTAGAAGAGTAATTACTAGATTAATTTATAGTATAGGGGGAAAATATTACCTCTAAACTGAAGAGACATCAAAATATCACTCGGAGAATAAGTGGAAGGAGCTGTCGCTAAAATAGTTTGAGGTTTTCGTTCGAAAGCTGTTAGATTCAGTCAGCTTTTAGAGACTCGGAAATCAATCTCAATGTTCCCGTCAACATATTTCGCAAGTCCTCAATGATGTGAGCAAATTCGTACTCTTCGAATCGGGTATTGCAACAGTAATAACTCTACTTATCACTATTGCACTCCCGATTCGAACCTCAAAGTTTCCCTTAAAACGACGCCCATTATTCACGGTCAGAATCATTTGACGTGGTCCTAACGACTTTCATCTCCTCAAATGGTTGTCTTTCATTTGAAATGTAAAACTTGGTGAGCGTTTCACAACACCACAGCGAGTAGTGTGCTGATATCATCATATCTTTACCATGTACCTCAAAGCAGAAAGTGTCCAGAATCCCATTGTGATAAGCATACACTATCTCTCATTGATACAGATAGAATTTCAAGCGAATCCTTAGGAGGCTGTAGAGATGTTTTATCCTCAAGTGGTCATTCATCAGTTACTTCGTTCTCTCTTTAGGCCATTATTTTCAGCTTTCTCGGCAGCTGAGTAGTTTCGTAGGAATTTACTCTTTGTTGTGATTGGAATGTAATCCCAATTAGGAACAAACAAAAATTTTTAGAAAAACCGTATTAAATCTTGTGATCCGTCATACCAAGATAGGGAGGTAAAGGTTGACTTAAGATATGTGCATGTCTTTGAGATATAAGTTCTTTAAATATCTCTTCATAAAGATTTATTTTCACAAGTACATTTTGTACCGTAACGCACTACTGTGTGACGGCTTTCCATTATATTCTTTATTCCAAAATAGATACGATATTTGCACATAGCTCACTTACCTCACACATTTGAGCATTTTTATAGCATATATCTCATCTGTACTAGTTGTAGAAGCTTAATTTGGTAAAAAGCAATGTTTTAGCAGAAAAGCCACACCCTTCGAAGTTTCCGGTTAGTGTTTCTTCGTAATATAATGACCAGAAAGCGTTCCACTTTGGGTTAGTTCAAAAGATCCACAATCCGGAGAGCAGGAGATCCGAGCAACTGCGGGCTGGGTCACCTTTTAAAGCATGATCTAGCTTACAAATACGCTGCTAATACGCCTACAACGCCTGTGGAACACTTGGAAGGCCCATGTG